TATTTTCTTATACTTACGAACTTTCAATAAACTGGATAAATCTTTTTTACAGCACTTTATGCAGTATTTGCATTTCAAAAAAAAGAGATAGACTAGAATGGGATAAGAAGATGGAAACAATCATGAAGTCATTATAAGGCAGAATAACTACAAAACAAGTTTTTTATTTCTCAGTGAAAATATTTAGAATAGCATTATTACAGCTAACATAATGAATTTTTATTAATGATTTAATATAATATAAATTATTTTGTTACTATAGAAAAATGTGTATCTAATCAGATTTAATCTTTAATCACAAAAATTTTCAATAATGTTTCCTTTAATAAAGTTAAGACAAAAATATGTTACATGATATACAGTAATAATAGTTTAATTTCGTTATCCGTATAATAATTGTTTATATATTTAAAAATTTCATGTCATATTGATAAAAATATAATAGATACAAATTCCATGGTATATCGCAATAAGTTTTTGTAGCTAGAAATGAGTAATGACTTCAGTATTAAATGCATCTTCGGAAAAATATGAAAATTATGTTTCTGAAATATCTTCATAATCCTTTCACGTAATCATCCTTTAAATCCTTTACTTATTTATAAACATCAAATATTCTTACATTTGATGAAAGGAAATAAAAAGAAATATTGAAAATATAATTAAAAATTGAAATTAGCGATAATTAAATGTAAATTATGAGCATATAGAAAGATTCTAACCTGACTCATTAAAAAAATAAAGGACATAACGGAATAAAGAACAAATGTAGCGTATTTATGCGTGATAGAAAGAAAAGTAATAAATAGAAAAGAAAAAATCATCAGACGGATGGTCACACCGGGGATCGAAGGGGCGGAGTCAGATGAGGGCATGCGCAGTAATGCATTTCGGATACTTTACCGCGGTAGTCTCGCTTCTCTATCTAGTGGGGACTCTGTAGCAGTTACACACGAAGAGTATAGTTATAGCTGAGTCAGTACTCTGTGTGAGTGCTTTCCCGGTGCTCTTCTCATTCCTGTAAGCTCTCGTGCTGCCAGAGTCTATCAGCCGTGAGTTTCGATACGGGAAGAAATGGAGCTCGAGCAACCGATATCGGAAACGAATTCCAATTTAGTAAGTAGTAATTTTGTATATTCTGAAATAAATGATCAAATGTATGTGTATAGTTTCTCATTTAGTCTTCGTTTAACGGTACTTTTCTCTTGGTAATACCTATCGAGGATGGACGCGAAATTTTTCTAAGTCCCAAAATGGCGTCTGCGACTAAGTCCAACTTTATCATGAGCGAGCAATCCATCCAGACGTTAAGTTCAATGATCAGTTATACGCATTTTTCCTAGGGTTTATATATTTTTGTTCTAACGATCTTCGTGCATAATTTTGCTTTGATAATGGAAAATAAAATTTTTTTTTCTTTTCTTTCAGGAAAAACGGTCGAAGGAAAACAGCGTTGTGGGTAATCATAATGGTGAGTTGATTTATTTTCAGATGTAATACGTGTAGTCTCTAACACGAAAGATCATGAAATCCAGTCGATTAAAGAAGCAAACAAACTAGTTCCGATGCGATGAGAAGCGAATAGTTCAACTTATTCTGCCAATGACCTAAGCGCTTGGACACGTGTTTTCACTCTGAGAAAGCCTTCAAAAACTTACAATTTTTATATCATAAATGTGAACTTCATTTTTTTCTTTCCTCAGTTTACTGTTTTATTTTTATTTTTTCCCATTACATTTTATTTATTATTGAGAGTTAAGACAGCGTTTTCTTTTCCGACCTTAACGAGTTGAACAAATTCTGCACTCGCTGAAAGAAATTGAATATAATCAAAAATGAAAGTCTCGATTGCGTATGTATGTACACGTATACTATCACATAATTGGTGTATACGTATATCATCACATAATTGGCAACATCTAGTTAGTGTACTATATAATATGTAATCTACAGAAAATTACTTATGTTCTATTTCATTACAAAGACTAATAAAATTAAAGTTATGAGAAAAAATATTTTTCAAATTTTTATGTATTACAAAATTTAATTATATATTATATTATATATTTATTTGGTTTTTTCTTTTTAATGTAAATACATAAGCATAAGTTGTATTAGCTTTATAATGACGATCAGTAAACGTACATTTATATTGTACAAAAAGAAGAAATCAAGTCTAAAAAGTAATTAAGTTATATAAATAATATAAGTAAGAAATTGTTTTCATTGATTGAATTGAAATATTATTTAATAGTTATTGATTATAGAATTTATATTTACAAAAGAATTAAATTATTATCCATATAGATATGCTTATGTTTATGTTTATGTTTATAATTTTTATATGCTCCAATTCATTTATATTTTTATATAATAAAGTGAGCACTTAAATATAACCTGAGTAGAATTTATAGCAAAATTTATATTTTTTGTTTAGATGCTCATTTGAATGGCATGTCTAATGGATTTGATAGAAAAAAGGACCATAAATCCGAACATAAAGATAAAGAAAAAGAGCGATCTCATAAGTCTGAACATAGAGACAAAGACAGAAGTAAAGAAAAAGAGAAGAGTCACAGAAGCGAACACAGAGATAAGGATAAAGACAGACATAAACATAGTTCTAGTTCCTCCAAAGACAAGGAAAAGCATGAGAGTAGCAGTAGTAGCAAGGATAAAGACAGAGAAAAGAAAAGTAGTTCGTCAACGAGCAAAGACAAAGATCATAAGCATAGCGGATCATCTAGTAAGGATAAAGAAAAAGACAGAAGTAAAGATAAGGAGCACCATCATAAATCTAGTTCCAGTTCAAAAGAAAAAGACAGGTATTGAGAAAAAATAAAAATAAATTTTTCATATATCTTCAAAATAACACAATTTGAGAAAAAACAATATCTATTTTTCTCACTACTCTATTTTAGATATCACAATGTTTCTAAGGATAAAGAAAGTTCCAATAAAGATAAAGAAAGCTCAAGGAGTAGAGAAAAGGATAAGCATAGGCATAATTCAGTGAGTTCAAATTCTCGCGACAAGGATAAAGAGAGAGATTCTGCAAAGGATAAAAAACATTCATCATCAGAAAAAGATAAGGATAGACATTCCACTTCTCATTCTGGAGACAAAGAGAAACATCGTTCCTCCGATAGAGAAAAAGATAAACATAGTTCATCCAGTAAGGACAAACATCGTCATGAAAAAGATAAAGACCGTCACAGGCATGATAAAGAAAAATGTAGGCTATATTATTCTAGGAAAAAGTAATTAATTGATTGATGTTTTCTCTTTATTTCTAATATTTAAAAATATTTGCAGCTAAGCATCGAGAAGAAAGAGATAAAAAGGAAAAAGAAAAAGATGAAATAAGAATTAAAGAAGATGTAGAAATAAAAATCAATCATCTTACAAGTGAAAGTTTTCGATATAACCACGATATCAAACCAGAAATAAAAGAGGTATAATAGGATTTGCTTTTATTTTTTCTTTGTATACCCTTTTACATTTTATTAACATATTATATATATATTAATATGTATCAGGAACCAATATCGCAAATAGAGCAAGATGACGATGATGATGATAGTGGCGAAGAACCACATCTTTTTATTAAGGAAGAAGAAGATGAAGAACCTATTAAAGATGAAGCTAGCTTGGACTCAACAAATGACACAAGACTTTCAGATCTTCATAATACAACTCTTAAAACTGAAGAAGAATCGGAGGAAGATATGCCATTGGTAAACATATTAATTTTAATTTACTGCTAAAATATATATTTTATTGTTGCATTTTTTGTTCGATCTATATAATAATATTTACAGCAGATTTTATATACAATATTATCTATAGAAGTAAACTATTTATAAAATTTTATTTTCTATTATACTGTAAACATATAAATATTATTAATTTGTATGTAGTGCGCAAGATTTATGTCAACGCCAAATGTTAAAAGAAAAATTGAATCGGATGATGAAGAAGAACTTCCGCTTTCTGCTCGCAAAAAGACCAAGAAAACTGGTTCCAAAATAAAGAAAAAGAAACGGAAACATGATGACGAAGAATCTGAAGTAGACGAGGTAGATTATTCGTAAATTCTTTTTTCATAATATCTACATATAAATACTTATTTTATGAAATATGTATATATTTTTTTATAGAAACCAAAGAAGAAAAATAACAAAAGTATAAAAAGCGAAACAACTAGTCCCAGAAAGAAAAAGCAAGAAGAAGAGCAAGATGTTTGGAAATGGTAAGATATGCGATACATCCATCTCCTTGAGTTTGATTGGTTCAATTCTTGGCTTACAGTCATGTGACCACCTAACCTCTTTTTGTTATATTTCTAACGTGTCTTGAACTGAGAAAAATCAATTTTAATGAACAAAGAAATGATGATCAAACTAGTTTAATTAAATATGAAGCGATTTATTAATATAATGGTGGTATTTTCAGTAGAAGTTTTGTTTAATTATAATCGCAATTATAAAAACTTGCAATATTTTCATTTTCGATCTCTTTTAAGGTTATGTTACTTTACAATAGATCAAACTTATTCAAACTTAAATGTCTACTTATGACTTAACTTATAAAATGAAATAATAATAATAATAATAATAATATTAAATTATTACTTTTTAGGTGGGAAGAAGAAAAGAAGAACGATGGAACAAAGTGGACTTTTCTAGAACATAAAGGACCAGTTTTTGCACCTCCGTATGAACCACTTCCTCCTAATATTAAATTTTATTATAACGGTAAAGAGATGAAATTAAGCGAAGGTGCAGAAGAAGTCGCAACCTTTTATGCACGAATGTTAGATCATGATTATACGACTAAGGAAGCATTTAATACTAATTTCTTTCATGATTGGCGAGAAGTAATGACAGAATCTGAAAGAAATAAAATTATTGACTTGAGCAAATGTAATTTTAAAGAAATGCATGCATATTTTGTTCAGAAAAGTGAAGAAAGGAAAGCAATGTCAAAAGAAGAAAAAAAGAAGATAAAAGAGCAAAATGAGGAAATTCAAAAAGAATATGGGTTTTGTGTTATTGATGGGCATAAAGAAAAAATAGGTAATTTTAAAATAGAACCTCCAGGACTTTTTAGAGGTCGAGGCGAACATCCAAAAATGGGAAAATTGAAAAAGAGGGTTTTGCCTGAAGATGTTCTTATTAACTGTTCAAAAGATTCTAATATTCCAAAACCCCCAAGTGGACATAAGTGGAAGGAAATTAGACACGATCCTAATGTAACTTGGTTAGCTTCTTGGACAGAAAATATTCAAGGACAAGTTAAGTACGTTATGCTTAATCCTTCGAGTAAGTTAAAGGGAGAAAAAGATTGGCAAAAGTATGAAACTGCAAGAAAATTAGCAGCATCAATTGATAAAATCCGTACTGAGTATAGAGAAGACTGGAAAAGTAAAGAAATGCGCATTAGACAAAGAGCTGTAGCTTTATATTTTATTGATAAGTTAGCACTTAGAGCTGGCAATGAGAAAGATGAAGATCAAGCAGATACTGTAGGTTGTTGTTCTTTGCGTGTTGAACATATCACATTGCATGAACAAAAAGATGGAAGAGAATATGTAGTTGTATTTGATTTCTTAGGTAAGACAAATCTTCTTATTAATGATATTTTTAAAACTATTTTTAATATGTAATAATTCTGTACATCTTTATTCTATTTTATTTTAGGTAAAGATTCTATAAGATATTATAACGAAGTGCCAGTAGAGAAACGTGTCTTCAAAAATCTGCAACTATTCATGGAAAATAAATCTCCTAATGATGATTTATTTGATCGACTTAATACTACGGTTATGAATAAACATTTGAATGAATTAATGGAAGGTCTTACAGCTAAGGTATTTAGGACATATAACGCATCGTGGACATTGCAACAGCAGTTAGATAAGCTGACAAATCCTGATGACACGGAGGCTGAAAAAATCTTGGCATATAATAGAGCTAATAGAGCAGTTGCTATATTATGTAACCATCAACGTTCTGTGCCAAAAACGCATGCAAAATCCATGGAAAATTTAAAAGCAAAGATAGAGGCTAAAAAAGAAGCAATAACTGAAGCGGAATTACAAGTAAAAGATGCAAAACGTGATGCGAAACACGGCTCAATTAAAGAAAAAGTGTACGTAATATTTAGTTTTTAATATTTTCTTTAAATATATATTAAACGCATAAAAAGGGTAAATATTTAAATGTTATATTTTTCTAAAGTGTCTATGAAAAGAAGAAGAAAACACTAGAGCGCTTGAAGGAACAATTGACAAAACTAGAGGTTCAAGCAACAGATAGAGAAGAAAATAAAGAGATTGCATTAGGAACCTCTAAACTTAATTATTTAGATCCAAGAATTTCTGTTGCATGGTAAGTATTTTAGAACTATGCAGTGATATATATATATAAATGCATATTTTAAAGAAAAAAATATTATTATAAGATAATTATTTTTTATTTAGGTGCAAGAAGCATAATGTTCCAATTGAAAAAATCTATAATAAAACTCAAAGGGATAAGTTTAGATGGGCGATAGATATGGCTGGACCAGACTATATCTTTTAACCCCATAAAAAAACTGCTTTTATGTAATAACATATTTTTCGTTAAGAGTATATAGTGAATTTCTGTCTTATTAGGGAAATACAAGAATGATATAATTTTTTGTATTTACATGAATAAACATAAGAACAGCTGGATACATTTTATATAGAATATTAAAATTGTAGTAAGGAGACTTGATATTCAGTATATATATATATATATATATAATTAATAATTATTGATGGCATCGAATCGATCGCCTGGCAATCATGCATAAAAATTTTAGCGATTATTGTATATCTGCGTATAGCGTTCAATTAGTCTCGTAAATTATCAAGAAAAAAATGAATAGTTTGATAAATAAAAAAAAATAAGATATATTAGGCAATTTCTTATACGTGTGAGTTAGGACAAATATCAAATTTGTGCGAAGTCTAAATTTAGAGGATATTTCGGACGCTTTTATAAGATAATTTTTTTTTTAACCTCTAAGTTTAGATTAATATTTTATGTATGGGCTGCACCACTGTAAATAGAATATTATCGGAAATGTTGACAGCCACAAATTAATTAAGTGCATCAAACTTGTGTAAATTCAACTATCAAATAGACAATTTTTATTTCTTTTCTTCATTTAATGTTTCTGTACATATATTGTCATTTCAAGTCATTTACATTTTTTCATCATGAATTAAAAAAATAGATCTTAGTAAAAACAAGCTAATGTTTTTAGTATAAATGATATCATTTTAAATGCAATATTACTCTACAAACTCAATTTGCATATAATCTCTTAAAAAAACTATTGATATGGCGATATATTTAAAAAAAATTATCGCTTTTGCGATCTATGTTTTATAAAAAAAAAGAGCAAAAAGAAAAAAAAATACCATGTAGATTATTATAAATGTGAACATACTGTATGCCTGTATGATTAATTTTTGACATCATTTGTATACGTGATAACATTATGCACAATGGTGACAATGATTCTAGAAAATACATTGACTGCAATGCATGAAAAAATTATTTATACTTCACAGCCCATTGATAAAATTAAGTTTTAATATTTAATTTTGGAAGTGTTATTTTCACGTGACCTAATATAGTTATGTGACACTTTGTGCATTTACATATACATAAATGTAGCATGCGTGTCATTCATATTTTAAAAAATTATATTGTAAAATATCATGTTTTCATACTTTATTTGTGTATTTTTAAAATTCCATAATTTAAACTTTGTAGATGTTGATATCTAAATAACAGATAATGGGACTCAAGTAATGATTATTGTAAAAGACTATTCTTTAATTTTTTTTTGTATGAAAAGAGCGTCTTATTTAAACAATTAATATAGATTAGTTATTTCAAGATATTATTTCACTTTTAACAATAATGCAACGTTAGTTACTTATAATTTATCTAAGCAGCAGATTACAATATAAAAATTGTATTATATGTGGTATAAATGGAACAATGAATTTTGAAAATTCTTATTTTGAGAAGTATGGCAATATGTCAATATATATCTTAAATATATAGGAAATATTTTCTCAATTTAAGTAGCTATGTATTAGCAATTCTGACTTTACAGAACTACCAATTTATTCGTTAATAATTATGTATTAATTCGTCTGTTAAGTCATACATAACAGTTTCTCAAAATACATGTATATTCTATAGTTACTTCTTGTATTGTCATTAATTACATATTTAGGTGGTAATAATTTATGCGTTATTTCGTATTTAATATCATCGGGTATAAGGATATTTTTTAACTTAGTATTATTAAACAAAAATAGAGAGAGGGACTGCTTATGTACACTTCAGACTAAAATATTTCTCTAGATTAATTTGTGTATGAATATAGATAATGTTACAATACTTAATCATAGATGTTGGAAAAAAATTGCAATATAGGAGAACACTGTCAGGACAAATGATAAAATGCAATCAATGTATAGATTTCCGATTCTATGTACACTATAATATATAATATAAAATTTTTAACTTTTACAAAACATAAGAATATTATTGATGTTCAAAAAACAGTCGAGCCTGCACATATTGAAAGTGTAAGACTTGAATGTAAACCTTTGAACATTATCAATCATTTCTGTACAATACTGAACTAATAAAAAACTACAGTATTGAAAGAAGCATAGGTTGTATTAATTAAATTCATTCAGTATAATAATAAAACAGAAAGAACACATGATATCAAGGAAGATAAATACATATGTATTATGTTTTTATATTTGCATTTAATATAGAATATTTTTAATATTTTTCTGTAATATAAATTCTATTTGCAACAGAAAAATCAGTAAAAAAAATGTATCATTGAATCTCTCTTATTTCATCATTTCATTATTAAATTTCAAAATATAATCGAATACTAATGATATGGTTAAAATTAGTAAAATTAAATTAACATGTCTCTTATCGTGTTCCTTTATAATAATTTATTTAAAATAAGTGCATCTCTCAAATTTATAATAAATATTAAATAGTGTAAAAACTTATAAACAAAGCATTATAATTACTATGCAGCACAATTACATTGCGTTCTATAAAAATGGTACTCATTTATCTCACTATATATTATGTATTTACTATATTTATAGAAGAGAGATAATTTTCATTCTGATAACATCATAATATTAATACTAATTTTTCAGCAATACTTCAGACACAATAAAATATTTTAGTATGTTGACGTAATCAGTACTGCAATTAGGATTAGCATTTTAGTTTATAAAATATAAGATCTATATGACTATAACATTTTGGTTGATGTGTCAGAGCAGAATAATTATTCTATCAATAAACTCTGTTTCGGCGTACTTTTCATTATACTTGATAAATAGACTAGACTATGATAAATCACTATTCTGTATGGTCATCCTTTCTTTACATAGCAAGAAAACATGTATTCACAGAAATAAGGATATCTCTACTTTCTATTCACAGACAAATTACAACGTGAAACTTTTGATTTGGTTATCTAAAAAAGATTTACACGATATAATTTTTATATGAATTCTGCTAATAGAAGAACACTTGCAAACACGATTTCATTTAAGAATAAAAAATCGATGTGTAAATCATGTAATGTCATCATTGTAATTAACAAACTGCCATTATATTATCAATAAACAAAATATAAATAGTAAGAAAAAAAATAACATAAATACACGAAATATTGCCATTTCTCATTATTATACACATTTCGTTAAATTATGTTGATTTACATATTGAAAACATTTCATTTTGAATATATTTTTCTCTTATATTAAATAAGAATCATAGTATTTTAATGATACAGCAATACTCGTGTTAACAAGCTTTAGTGATGCAAAAATTAGACAACAAAAAATATAAAAACAATCACGTGATATATTTTTAATTGAAAACTATTTTTAATATCTTTTATATTTAATTTTCGATTGTATTTAGTTTGACATGGTCCCAGCCAGTCCATATTAATAGTTTTTTTTATTTGTTTTAATAGTATCACTAATTGTAAGATAGATGACAATTTAAATCAGATTGGATATTTATTATTAACCTAGCTCGTGTCATATTAATTATGACCAATAAATCGTGAATTTTTATTATTTATACAACTTTGAATTGTTCTGATACATCCGTACCAAGCATAAATGCTTTGTAAGATTCAAAATTGCATTTGTATATAAGAACATCATACTATTAGTATAACTACATCTACGTGATTTCGTTGTAATGAAATGTTGATTAATGAAAATTTACGGTAAAATTTCCATTAAATCACAATACATATTTTAGTACAACTGCAAAATTATAAGTAACTTAGAGTTGTTCTTTGTTACCATTATCATATAAATTATCACAATGCATTCGCAAGAAGGCATGAGATAAATTAAAAGGTTTTGTTTCTCTAAAAGTGCAATATATAAGTATGATTTGAAAATATAATCTCACTCAGGGTCTGTTTCTCCTTCACCAGCAGGTAATATTGCAATGATACCAGCTGCTGCTACTTTTGCTTTGTATGTCTCCGGTTCGAACCAGCGAATCGGTGCCTGTAAAAGTTACATAAATTAATAGAACATTTGCATTATGTTTAAAAATCATTATAGTAAAAAACAAATATGTTCTTACCTGTAAATGATGCTAAAAGCAGCATGCTTTAAATCTACTAAATGTTATGCTGCCAACGCAAATATAATCATGCTATTTTTAGAATTTATCCAAAAGATCTTTTCGTATAGCTGTGTTTCTAATTGTTATATATATGTTTATATAGTACATTCATTTGAAATACTGCAGAGAGCTCTATATATATCATGATTCAAAAACGAAGTGAATCAATATTTTATCACTTCATTTTCATTCATGAAACAATGATATAACTTTATTACACACAAGTACATAATATATAATTTAATACTGTTATAAAATTATTATTACATTTTTAAGTTTAATTATTATTATGGAAATTTTAGGTTTTACATAGTTAAACACATTATTAATTTCATTTTTAATATCATTTATAATGAACATATAAGTATTTACTTTTATTATAAACTTTAGATAGTATTTAAATAATAACTACAATAGAAAGAAAAAAACAGTAAAATTGTATAATCTCGGTAAATAATATTCATCATTGAATACAACATAGACAACATAAACGTAAAATATTTACTCTTCTATAATCAGTCGTAATTTAGCCACGTAAGTTTATTATAGCTCAAGCCAAATCTAGCTTAAAAATTATTTACTAAATCGAATAATACTTTTAGCAGTCTTGTAATGACTTCCTATTAACATTACACAGCTAAGCATTAACTAGAGATTCAACAAGATATAACTGAAGTATAAATTGGAACATTAATAACATAATTAAAAAATATTAATGTTAAAACATTAAATTCCACTATAATGTAGTTAAAGCGAAAAGCTCAATAACAATCAAATAAAGTTAAACAAAGTTAATAAAAACAATATTCTTAATTAAAATCTGACCTCGTTATAAGACTATTTAGGAATTGTAGAAGAAAAATTTCGAAAAATTCAAATTCTCCCACTATTATCACATATTTAAATATTGTGTCCAATTAAACGTAATAAGACAACTGCCGTACCAACTTCTCTCCATTACTATAATTTATTTTAATATTATATCCAGTTCCATGTTACGACTAGAAGACATACATATGTATATTATACATTCATAGTATTTTTTTATTTAGGATTATTGCCATTGTTTAATTCGTAAACAAATTTGAAAAGAATCTATAATGGAGGAAGCATTCATACATTCTTTTAACAAAATAAAGAGAAGTCTTATAACAAGATCTAACTGCATTTAACGATTATGAAAGTTAACTTAAATTTTATACTTTGGCATTCATTTTCATGGTGTTAACCGATTTATGTATCTAACATATTATAGTAGGTAATAATATATAATATAATATATATTACATATTATTCTACATAGAAAATTTAGATCAAAATAACTCAAAGGTATTATTGATCGTCTTAGAGTTAATTTTACTTTTCTTTTATCTATAAGAAAAATCACCCTATTCATGAAGAGTATTGAGATATTAAATATTAGTCATCTTGCAAGAAAGATTAGCATTAAAAACGGAGCACATTAGATGATTAGCATTACTATCACAGATGTCTACCTTACGAACAATATTCGGGCATTCCTTTTGTATACGAGCCCAATTTGCAGGAGGTCGTTTTGCATAAGGGCCTGTAGAGCATAGCAGTAAGAACTCATAAGTAAGTTCTCTGACTTTTGAATCTGAAATTTTATTTAAGATCATTGAACTATAACTTAAGAATTCTCTATAAGAAATATTAAATATGGATTATTACTAGTTTCAAACTTTAATTAAATACCTTGATCAGATGACTGAATTTCTGTAACAAGATGTGATTTATATGTTTCTTCACTTTCCGAAGTAGCTGTACTATCCATACTTAATTCTCGTCCTAATGAAACGGTATTACTTGGAGTTAATGGCGTTTGTGATAGATTATTATCGGAAGAAACAGGTTTTTCATCAAAGGTAAAGTATTCTATTCCACTTCCAAATTGCTCAGAATCTCCTAAGAAGTATTCATCCAACACTAACTTTGCAGTCTGAATAAAGCAAGAAGTATAATTTTAAATATAGACACAAAAATTATAAAAAATACAAATATTATAGTAAAAACTCCTACCCTAACAAGATCCAAATTTGTTCCTGTAATCTTAAGGGATTGATTGTCGACTGTAACTGTATATTTATATTCGCCAATACTGGCGTCGTTGGTGGAGAAGCTATGAAGGAGTGAACTTCTCAAACGAGAATTCTGTTGTTGATGTTGCTGCAATCGATTACTTTCTTCAGATGCACTACTATTTAAAGAAGAACTTGAACCTCCTATACCTCCTTTTTCTCCTCCACCTTGCTCCAATCGTATCGGGGATGCATTTCGTTGAATCGTATCCTTTATTAAATCCTTCGCATAACTAAAATAAATTGACATTATTTAATAAAAATATATTAAATAAAATAAATACTTATATAAAGGATTTGTTGTAACAGTAAAATATATAAACTTACTGTATCTTGTCCTCGGAAGTACCAGTTATTTGGACAAGTCGTTCTTTAGCCCCAGGGTTTACTACAAAAAAAAAAGAAAACAAATAATTTGATACAATATCACGTACATTATAGTTATTATACTCAGATATGAGTTTAATATTATTAATTAAAAACGTCTATCTTATATTTATATAAGAATGTTAATTACAAGATGGTAATAATTTTAATATACTAATAATTATAACATATCATATAACTTCAATCAACAATAAAATCAAAATTATTGGTGTTAAATATTGCTTTAACAATTTTTCTCAAATACAATAAAATTTCATATATGACATATAATTTAATTTTCTGAAATAAAAATAAGGTAGTATGTTTATGACTAGGATCTATAGATATTATATATATACAACTGCATTGTTGTAAAAATTTTTTATATTTCAGATAATAATTCAACATTTCGAAATTATTTTTGTGGTGGTAATTATATCATTATATATGTAGCTTCATTGTGTAGATTATTATTTTCAGTTTTTACTAATAATATATTTATCTTTCAATGATTATAACTTTAATTAATTATAATTTAAAAAGCTGCAGGCACAAGGCATGACAGTTATATATTGCATCATTGAACATACAGTGGCACATGCCATGATGATTTAAAGGATAAAGAAATAATATCAAATTAAGCTTCTGCAGAATGTGTTTCAATTTTCTATATAACTTATATTTGTGACTTTCAGATAATCTTACGTTTTTTACTTTCAAATCAATATATTAATGATTTGGACATCTTGATAGCCAAATCTTGAACGTAGCAAGGTAATTAATACTTGCTAGCAACTCACTTGGTAACGTTCTTGAAATTAATAATTATATTACAACAAAATAATGTATATATATATATATATATATATATATATATATATATATATATATATATATATTAATT